AAAGTTCTTTAAATGTAATGGAAATAAGGAAATTTAAATTCTAGCGAAACATTCAAGTGCAGGTTTCGTTACCTGAGTACACTTGAGTGAAGGTTGGAGAATAAATATGGAGGAAATATTTCCAAAATAAACAACCATGTGGAATGGGGAATAAGCTCAGTATAATTAAAAATTATTGTTTTAAGCAGGATTATTCATCCTGAAGGAGTTCTCCAATATTGAATAAAAAGAATTTACAAATCGGAGTGTGATATGCCTCAGATATGTGGAACAGATCACTTAACAGTAAGCTGCAACTGGGAGCGGTAACAGGCTGTTAACCTGAGATGTTAACGGGTGCAATATGCATCAGATATGTGGAACAGAGCACTAACAGTAGGCTGTAACCGGGAGCGGTAACAGCCTGTTAACCTAGTATGTTAACAACGCTGTTGATCTGTTCCAGATGCTGACCTAAACAATCATTTATAATTATTTCAATTATTGATGCAATTCGCGAAAGGAAATTTAATAATTCAAGTTCTTACACCAGAATATTCAAAGTCTCTTCACGGACTTAAAACAGGTGGTGCAAACCCTAAAGACAATTGCGCCATTCAACCATCCATCAGTTCATATGGAATGTGGTATTTATATGTATGTATAGTTGAAACGTTATAAGTGACTCATGGAATATGGGAATAAGATGTACAACTTTTGGTTACCAAATTATAATATATTTCTGGCCATTAATAGCTATTAATTATAATTAAAGAAAAAATGGTCCATTCAATGATTGCAGTTGTTTTTTTTTCTTCTTATTCTTACCTCCTATCCGTTCACATAATCAAATCCAACTTTTTTGCCATCTATCCCACGTATCTACGAGTACATCCCCCAACAAAAAGCCACCAATCGCAAATGAAGGTGAACGTTCTTTGCCCCCTCAATGAACGAACGACCAAGAAATGTCCTGCCAAATTAAATGATTACCTCGAGAAGATTTTGAGATTTCTTTTCATGGGCCACACAACACACTCGCCCCACACCACAAGAAGGGAGCCACAATTAAGCCTTTAGTCAATCACCTTTGCTCCCTGCCCGGCCCAAACGTGATTACATAAATCCCAAAGAAAAAAAAAGATTCCTCTTTCGAAGGTGGGTAAGGGAATGGGGTGGACCTTTTTTGATTATGATTGGGACACATGGGGAAACATGGTCGGGGGCTGACTCAATAAGGCTAAAAGCCAACGACGAGGACGCCACGAGGTCCTTGGGTATTAGGCTAATTGTCGGACCAAGCTGAAAAGATATCCGAACCGGATTGAATCTGTGGAGTGGACCCGCCCCGGCGTGGAGTGGAGTGGAGTGGATGCAGCTACTCGACTCATGTCAATGCCAAGCCAAGTTTAATCAACGTTCCGCAGACTTTTTTCTCGTCGCCCTCGCTCTCTCTGTGTTATCCTTCTGAATAGTCTTTTTCTATACCCTTAAAGAGAGGGTATTATAATTCTGACAGAGTATTGCAGATACTTCAAGCAAAATTCACAGATAATAATTTGGAGTACACATATTCCCGGAATGCTACCAATTTTCAACTGAGTGCAACTACATTCTCAAGCTGTCTGGGCAACGATCGCTTCTGTCAGAGTATACGAGTATAAGCCATTAGTTCGCTAAAACCAGTCGCCCCTCTTGTTTTTTATATGTATGTATATCCTGCCTGATGTTGGCAAATTAATTCAGGAAATTCAATAAAAACAAGCAGCAAAACATGGCAAACAAAACTCGTCGAGTCGTCGAGAATTTGCCCCCGATGCTCGCTGCTCCGTGCAATCAAAGAGTGCATAGATAAATCACCCGGCTAAAACCCTGAGGATGGTGGTGGGTAGGGGGGATTGGATGGGAGGGGAGGGGGTTAAAAAACACGGCCAAAATGTCAATGCAAATTTAATGGCTGACAATTTATATGCATGCCAAGTGACTTTTGGCCAACTACTGAACTTTGTGTGAATGTGAAAGCAGCCGGGGAGCTGGGGACAGTTTGGGGCAAGGATAAAAAGCAGAAGAGATGGCGCTGGCAATGGGTGGGGTGGGGTGGGGGGATGGTTGGGATTGGTCTAGTGCAGGGGAAAAAAGTTCCGAAGGTGCCAAGTGGCTGTCAAACTTTTGCCAGGGAGCCAGCGAGCGAGTTTTCGCCCAAAATCGAATCGAATCGAAATGCGAAATCGAATGAAATTCCTCGCGTCGTCCTGTGGGCTGTCCTGTTCGTTCTTCTGCTGTTGCTGTTGCCGTGGCTCATAAATTAAGCCAACGCATTGGTAGCTCCCTTCATGCTCCTCTTCCTCCACCTCCGAGAATTTTTCCACCATTACAACATTAACGGTTTATTTATGCCGCCGCCGACATTTAAAATGCATTTCCTGTGCCCAGGTTGTGCCCCAAGATTGAAAGAAAGAGGGAGAGAGCGAGAGAGAAAAAAATGGCGAAAGAGATGGCCAGGAAGTAGAGGCAGGTTAAGGCAGAAAGGGTGGCAGCGGCAGTGGCAGGCAGACAGGACGACAGAATATACAGAAATAACTTTAAGTCGTGTATTTATAACGCACCTGAAGAACTTTATGGCGACGCATCGGGCGCATAAATACCGAAAGGTGTCGACATGACCCAAGGACCGATCAGTGAGTCGCAGCCAGAAAAGAGAAAAGTTTTTAAAGAGGGGCTAGAGTACTGGGACAAGCGACTGCTTTAATTGACAATTTTGCTACAGTTGGAATTGGATAATGCGATTAAAAATAGAAAATTAAAAATAAAAAATAGTTGTATCTTAATAAACAATTAATGACGATGAATGAAAAATGTGAGAGTGCACGGTTATTAAATAGAAGCATTACTAGCACATAAGGGAACATTTCTACGTGATTGAAACACATATAAACGTGTAGAAATTGTGTTTGCTGGAGGGTGTACATAGTTTGGGTGCGATATATTTCTTATTCGCTTTGCTATTTAATTCACTGTATTTTTCCCTAGCTTACAAGCTAAGGCCGCTCGAGAGCAGATCGTGTGGATCGTTAATAGTGAGCGCTAACAGTGAGCTGTAACCTGAAACGGTAACAGGCTGTTAAGCTGGGGGTGCTAATAGCGCTGTTCCCTTTGTTAGAACTGCTGCCCGGAACACATTGGGTTATCGTATTTAAAAAGGAATAAAAAGCAAAATATATTAGAGGTAAGTATGTAATGTCGGTTATATGAAAAGCACCTACAAAGGCGCCTAAAATTAAAGCCTACGGATAAAGTCCCTTCAAGTTGGTAAAAAGTTTAGTTCATGAATACTTTTTGAGTACTTCTGCCACTCACTTAAATTATGAGATCAGACTACAATATTAAGGACTTTTTAATTTAAAGAAAATGTACTTCTCTTTTTATTGCAAATAGAGAGCTTATTAATAGAAATGAATAGAAAGAAACACCACTAAACTTAGGCTTGATTTTCCTCTAAGACTTTTGCAAATTGTCGTTGATCGTTGCTTAAATATTAAATCGATTCTAGGGGCGACAATGTCTGTTATACATTCCAGCTGCACACTCTTACCCCCTTGAAGCTATTAAACTAGCTTGCTTGAGTGAATGAATGGAATGTCAACAGATGGTAAAATACATTTCCAACACTTGATTGCCTCTTCCCTCTGACCGCTAATGTGGTCGGTCATTCACATCCACTTCCATATCTCTCAAGCGTTGTGCGGTCGAATCCGAATCCGAATACGAATCCCTTTTGTTATTATCAATCAACCAAATACAAGACACTCACAAGTGACCAATAAATTATTAATTATGTTGGAAATCAAACAGGCAAGCAACGATGATTGATGAGGATGGGTAAAGGGGGTCAGGGGTTAGGCGTCCCCCACCAAAATCCATCATTCGTCAATAGTAAAATGTATGCGTTTTCAAGTCAATTGGATCCACTGTTCCACTCGAGTATTCGTTTCGGTCCTCGGCGCCAACAACTGGGTAAGTGGAAATTGGTTCGGTTTTGCAATGGGCCACGTAACAAAAGTCGCTTGTTTTGGCCAACAGCAGCAGCAGCAGCAGCAGAAAAAAACCTCCCAAACCGCAAGAAGTTGGCCAGTTCGAAGGGTTTTCTTTTTTTGCAGTTGTGAACAACGTTATGCACTTAGAGGCAAAACAAAAGGCACAAAAACAAGCGAAACAGAAACCAAATCTAAGAAAAAAGACTAATAAGAATGGTGTTGCTTTTAAAGAGCGACTAGAAGATACCCCTTAAATCTCAGGCTTTTATTCAACTTCAGAGATTTTATTTCTTGGCACTGCAAGTGCCATTAGTTTAATGGCCAGGTTTATTTTAAACGACTGCTATAATTGAATGTACATATGTATATGTGTTATATGATTTATTGTTCAGCTATCCTTTCTAACTTAATTAATGTGATATTTTTTTTTAATTTACGGGGTTTTGAAAATAGCTTCTCTTAGCCTCTCGAGTTCAATGGAATCTGACACTGAATTAATGCCGCAATGAAAGTTGTAGAGAAAATCACATTTACATATATCATCATCACAGAATTATATTTAATACAAAATTTGCTTCATATTTGCCATTATCCTCTCCAAAAATCTAGCTATTGAAACGCACTACCGGATGTCTGATCGAACTTCATGAAAACAGTATACCCATTGGACACGAGTACCCTCTATAAACAGAAATACACAGCAACAAAAACCAAATAAAGAAAGAAAAGAGAAAAAAACGGACAGAAAAGTTGGCAAATCAGCCGCAAAACTGGGCCAGAGAGGGAAGAGCAGAGCTTAGATAAAAAGCTCCAACGGCTCGAGGCAAGACCAACAGACGGCGATAAGCGGGCGTGGCAGCAGCATCAGTGGAAGCAGCACCAGCACCAGCAGCAGCAGCAGCAGTAGAAGGAGCATCAGCATCAGCCAGAGAGGAGCTCAGAAGGATAAAGAGCGAGCAGCAGAAAGCGGCACACCCGAAGTCAGTTATGTGGCCGTCATGTCAGGGGATATCCCTGCTGGGGCTTCTTCTGGTGGCAGCCGCCGCTCTAGCTCTGCACCGCACCCCGGACGGGGCCATGGCCATTACCTCGCCTTTGGCGGGGCAGGACTTGCTCGATTTTCAACCCTATTTCCAGGAACAGGATCAACTGGTGGCCGCCTCCAAGAAGCATGAGGAGCACGAAGAAGGTGGCGAGGAGGAGTCCGGCGAGGAGGACCATAGCGAGCACTTCAAGAAGCATGGTGGCGAAAGCAAGAAGGAGCACAAGCACGGGGAGAAGTCGGAGAAGGGCGAGAAGGGCCACCACGACAAGGAGGGGAAAAAAGGGCGAGCACGGCGAGGAGGAGGGTCACGAGAAGAAGCACAAGCACTCGGAGTCCCATCACAAGAAGAAAAAGAAGGGCGATAAGGGTGAGAAGGGCAGCGAGTTCGAGGATCACGGCTCCTACAAGAAGGGTCACTCCATCAAGGGCAAACACAACGTCCACAAGCTCAACGAGGACAAGAAGGAGAAGAAGTACTACGACGAGGATCATGTGGAGGGCGGGGAGGAGAAGCACGGTGGCTTTGAGGAGGGCAAGAAGCACAAGAAGGGCAGCAGCTACAAGAAGGGGGAGCACAAGGAGGGCGGACACGAGGAGCACCACGGCAAGAAGGGCCACTCCAAGAAGGGACACAAGAAGAAGGGCCACAAGGGCCACAAGAAGAAGCACGAGGACTCCAAGAAGTGGGGCCACAAAAAGGAGCACGGCAAGAAGGGCGGCGCCGAGCACAAGAAGAAGTGGCACAAGTCCTCCAAAAAGAGTAGCGAGCACGATCACGGACATCACTGAGCAGCACGGTGTGGAGTATGCCGTGTGGTCCGTCCTTCTATTATTCTTGATATTTTTTAGACAATAAAACACACACAAATCAGACCCAGTAAGGAACCCTTTTACTTTTACTATTCGATACCGAATTTACATAAAGATTTACTATATGCAGGGGTTATATTCTTTTTTAGTGAAGAGCACAGCAGCCAGCAACCAAAAGCCCTGAGCAAAATCCAGCTACGATTTTACTCCAAAACAACTGGTAATATGACAAGCTATACCGAAACCAACCACCAAGAGAAACAGGCCGTAAATTATAGTGCGTGGTCATCGCTGGATTACTGCTTCTTCAACCATTCCCATTCACCCTCCCACAAACCCATAAGCAATCTACACACAACCATTTGATTGATGCTGTTCGAATAGCTTATGTTTCAATCAATTTAGTTGGAACAAAAGCTTATTAAATGTTCTTAGAAATTTTCAGAAATATATACATATATTAATCTGAGCCCACTTCCAATAAGTACATAGTACAGATGTAGTTACATAAATGTATAATCTGAAGACATAACCCGTCTCAAGAAATTCTCCCCCAAAGACTGAGACAAGTCCCTGTTATAGTTATCTTTAAATTAGCCAGTGAAAGCTCGAAATATTCATGTGACTGCTTAGTAAGAGATTACATGAGGCAGAGAGAGCAGTCCTCCCAACCCACACACACACACAAACATACACACACACATGTAGATTAAAGAAAACATAATTAGAAGGAAAATCTGAGGCATCTTTGGCCACAGGATCAAAGCTCAATTGGCTGCCCTACACCTGCATTGTTCTAATTGCCAAAAGGTAGGTGAAATATGAATATGCTGCAGACACATGGGCTAAGAGAGGGGTGGCAGGAAGGCTGGCAGGAAGGCTGGCAGAGGGGTAACGAGGGGGGTAGGCCAACCCGTCCGTGTCAAAGGTTAATTACGCATACTGCAGGTCGTGCTGCTTGCCTCGTCGACATCCTGTCCTTGCACGCACACAGCCACAGCAGATTTACACACTTTACCCAATGCAGGGCCTTGCTGGGACCCAGAGTGTGCGTGTGTTTGTTTGTTTGTTTGCTTAAGCCATTTCCGGTTCGATTTTAGCCAAAATCTTGTCCATTTTCTAGCCTAACCAAACAAACGGAACTGGTTTAGGGAGGGACAGAGAGGTAGTCGGAGTCGGAGTCGGATACGTAGCCCCAGCAGCAGCAGCAGCAGCAGCTAGAGCTGAAGCAGGAGGACGATGCTGCAAGGACAACCAGCTTTGTTTGGTTTCATATGCTAATCCTTCAGACCAGCGTCATAAATCATTCTCACCCAACCGGAGAATAGGGGCCGGCCAAGAAGAGAGACACACCATGGTCTGGGGAGACAATCGAGGTCGGGGTTAAGTAAAGTTCGTCTGGGCCTAAAAGCTTTTTCTTTTTTTTTCACCCCCACCCCCCCAAAAAGGGTATTCTGAGGTGTAACAGACCTTTGAGTACATAGTTCGGAGCATTTAGCATAGATACGTAATCAGATTAAATACTCGTATTTGCCGTAGATTTTGTTAGATTCGAATATCAAAAATTGTCTTATTAAACAATTGCCTATAAAACACTTTGGCTGTAACATAAACCTGCCGTGTAAACTATCGCGCATTAGGTACTACATAAAAATATGATTGACATCGGAATAATGGTAGGATATATCCGCCACTCATATGTCCGTCATAGAAATAGGAGTATTCCAAGCTTCGACACTCGGAATCCTGCCTTTCAATCTCGACTCTTTTCTTTCGGGCTGTCCCCATCATGTCCAGGGATGAGTTACGCTGCAATCTGTTTTGAGAAAGGTTGGGGTGCGGGTGCGGGAACGGGTGCGCCGTCCCATAGGGATTCCTGGGATCCTAGCAACTGCAATGCCACAAACAACAAAGACCAATAACAACGGCATGAATATAACAAAAGCTCCAGCCCCAGACCAGGACTTCAGTCAATGGAGCTTCATCTTCAACTTCAGCATCAGCATCAGCAATACCCACAAACAAACAAAAAAAAATGGAAAAAGGAAAAAGTTAAGCTCTGTGTCCTGGTCCCTGGTCCCTGGCTGTGGTTCTGGTTCTGGCTCTGGCTCTGGTCCTGTTTCTGTTTCTGTTTCTGGGTGAGTTGCAGCTGCAAGGTGAGCAGTCAACAGTTCAAATTTCCCACAACCTTACAGCTCTACCTCTCTCTACCGCTTTCCTCTATGGGTTTTCCTTATTGTTTTTGGAAAATTGCCTCAACAACAAGAGCAACAGCAAGCAGCAGCAGCAACAATCCCACATGGCCACTGGGCAAATGCATTAACGAAAGTGGTTGAGAGTGCAGAGCTTCAAGAGGGGCTCTATCCGTGCCATGAGGATGGGGCCGATGTGCAGGAGAGCCTGGTGTATCAGCACTAAAAGATCATAATTCACATAAGTCGACTAATAATTCAGTTAAGTTGAAATGCAACGCAATACACAAGCTGCACAGTTGCCCCAGCACAGAAACCCACAAGAGGAGAAAATGGGTGGCGTTCCATGAGTTCATGGGGGGGGCAAATACGAGTGGCAGTAGCATCATGGCCACACACACACACACTCGCGCACACACTCGCACACGCATGGGAGTCATTCGTTGGGGGAGAGCGATGCCAATTTGGGTTTATGGTTCATGGTGGAACTTGTTTGCTGGAACTAAATTTAAAACTTCTTTGACTGGCACTCAGAATAAATAAATTTGTTTGTATTCTTGAATGTTTTAATCATACATAAAAGTATTTTACAGCTGAAAATTAAGTGTGATTGAACATTGTTGCCAATGTGGCCTAAATTTTTAGCTTAATATATATGCACATGTGTAATTGCCATAATCGCATTTGGGCTCAAGGTAATGAATTATAAATGCGATTTATTGACTCCGTAAAATAGGTGTTGAATTACATATTAAACAAAGATATTAATTAAATAAGCCAAAAGGTACTAGAGTGCTGTTGCATGAATTATATACATACATTATACATACAGTTGAATAGCAGATAGCAGTTCTGCAAATTCGATTTCCAGCAGATTGTAATATCTACATATATCCATGCACTTGTACACATATCGTTCTATGTACTACCTATAGCTGCTAAACCAAGAAACGAACCATAAGTCATCCCTAATGTCAGGCTCCCTTAATCTTCTTACCTATCAGTATTTGCTCTCTCTCTCTCTCTTGATCTCCCTGTTGCTCCCTTATGTAGCCAGTGCAACAGTATTTAAGGATTTTCAATGTTCCTGCAAATTAGTTTAATCCTCTCTTCTCCCATTTCTGCATACGTACTCCTGTCTGTGTGGGTGTCTGTGTGTTTCTGTTTTTCTGTGGTGGGTGTGTGAAGAAGTTTATTGTTTACGGGTACCAAAAGGCTCCTACTGTTTTAGCTAGAGCTTTGCCTCTGGCTCTGTTGCTGCCTCTGCCTCTGGCTCTGTCCCTGCCTTTACCTCTCAAATTATCCTGCTGTCCTTGCATACGATTTAAGCTGTTGCTGGAACAATTTTGTTCCTTCTGTAATTTGTAATGTGCAGAAGTAATTTTCTTCGAAACCATTATCTAAATGAATAATATATTATTGATCAGTATATCAAGCGGTGGCGATCCTCTGCTACTGTTTGTAAACATCAATTTAAAAACATATTAAATAAAGCATTGGCCTTTTTTTTGTATTTTGGCAGGTCAGAAAGATCACAAACTGTAACTCCACGAAAAAATCGTTAAAAAAATATTTTTTTAAATAATCAATTGTTGAGGTAATTTAAATTGATTTATTATAGCTGCCATGGTATAGATAGGGTGAAAAAATAAGACCTGGGAGAAAAGATGTTTATCTCCTGATATTATATGCTCTAATTCAGAATATAACACGGTTTAACTGAGCATATCCAAGTTTGATCTAATTCAGAATCTAAATATCTGATTATTGCATTAAAATTAAAATAAACTAAGCTGCAATTAGTTATTAAATAGTAAAATGTATGTAGGAGCTTCATCTCGTTGATTTTAGAGCAACATTCAATGATTCAATTTTATCTTACGCAATATAAATTATGCTTTAAGTTATGTCGCCCCCAAGCAGAGCCCCGGGAGAAATGCAGCTCCCTCGCGTTCCCTGATTCAGACCTTGTCCTTTTGGTGGTTGTTGCCGGGAGTAGAGAGTGTTGCGACATCGCGGGATTGTGTGGTGGAGCGGGGGCAACTGCTTGGGGGCAATTAGGACAGCTCGTAAATATGCCACAGCGCGCTCGGATGCATCAATGAATGTGTCAATGATTAGGCTATGGCCGGCACAAAGGATGCCTGGACCAATGATGGCGCAAATCGAAATGTTGCACTTAAAGGGTGGGGGCATGGCGGCTAATGCAACTGCAGTGTAATGGCTGGAGGGTGTGGCATGTTGATGGGAGTTGCAGGGGGGAGGGGGGCTAACTGCAGGGCATAATCAAGCGAATGGAAGCCCAGGACGACGTCACACAGGCACACACACACACACAGATACAGACAGCTGGGGGGGCGGCCCATTGCAGTCAATTTATTGTGACCAATATAACGCCCGAACAGAGACTCCCAGGGATAGCAGGATGCCTCCTGTTGAAGGGAAGTGGGAGGGGTGGTGGGGTGGGGGGGGAGGAGAGGCACTGGGTGCATGTAAATTGAAAATTATGGCAATGCGCAACAAGATTAGCCAATGGCAATGGCGGTGCTGCTGTTCCTGCTGCTGCTGATGGTGGCACCGGAACCTACCCACCATACGAACACCACCCGTATATAGTACATACTGTAACAAGACCCAAATGAATTTATTGAGATAGAGAGAAAGATATAGGAGAGCTGGTGAGAGAGAGAGAGAGAGATGGAGAGAGGGAGGCCATCGCGAGAGTTGCACAAACATAAACTAAATGAATGCCCATGGCAGACAAATGAAGTTATGACTTAATGTATTCAGCACCACATAGAGAGAGGCCAGAGCCCAAAAATAGAGTCCAAATATCTCTCAACAAAAATAAAACTATACGAAATATGGAGATTCTACATACATACATATACAGAGGGAGGCAGGAGTTGGAGGAACTTTGGTAAAACTCCAAAAGCAAGTTCAAACTTTATTCAAATTTTATTCGATGCTTAATAGAACAGAATTCAATGAATGAATCTATGTATGTAGCCGCAGGCAGACACTTTTGGGATCACTATTTCTGACCATTGAGTCGCAACGAGAATTGGTTTCGATTCGATTTCTATGGCTTTTGGTGTTTTCAGAACAAAGAACAAAAATATATTGAAAGCAAAGAATAGTTAGGGGGAAGAAATAAAATTTGTACAACTTTAATCAATATTTTATGTCTAATATTGTACAAAATACGAAACGGTTTGTCCTAATATCACAACCTTTACTATTATACACAATTTAATATACACATGTATTTCAGCAAATAGCTGTATGGTTGTGCGAATCATATATCGGAGGTGCTAGATACCGAATTCCAACTGAGAACTATGTAACAGAATTTTTACCCAACGAACAAAGCTCCGGGGAAATATTAGCTTTCAGGAAAATCGAAACAAATATTATTTAATGTGTGTTTCATATTGTTTTTGGTAAAGTTGCATTAACTAAAAGTCGTTTATATAAAAATAAGAGGGTAATCTGCAGCCGTCTGACCAAACAAAAAAAAAAAACTTGATTTTGTTTCTTCTTTACATTAACCAGTTAGTGTTATTTCCAATCGAATGCGACACAACCACAATAATTCAGCTATAATCGGTTTTGGATTCGTTATACATTTCCAATAGGTTTAATTAAATGAATTGAATCAACTTGAAACCAACTAACGTTGAAAAAAATTAAAACAATTAACTTAAAAAAATTAACACTTTATTTATACCAATTTTTTAATTTAAAAAATATCGTTAGCCAAAGTATGACCTAAAATTCCGTTACATAAAACAGAGTGGTTTTCGGGTTGGGTACAAAGGCATAACTCTGCGAATTGAAAGAGCTATTTGTATAAAATTTGTGGTAATCAGAAAGATTGAGAGTTAATTTCCAACTATTAAATGTAAAAACGGCGAATCCGGAGGCATCTGGCGAACGTTACTGGCGTGACGTTACCGAATTCCGCGATTATAAAAGCCTAAAAATATACTGTTAGCCGAGGTTGGACCAACGTCTGATAATGGTTTTAGGTAGTTTAATATATTAGAAAAACTTTAAGCAGAAACTTTTATCAAGAATCATCTTCTTCCTAGGAGATAATAGTAAAAGAAAACATGTCTATAAAAATACCAGAAAATACCAAAAACGTGAACTTTTGCTTATTTTTAGGATGAAAGTTAATGAAATTATATGTCAATAAAGTAAATTAGTTACCTTTCAATAAATTTAGAAAAAAATATCCGGAAAAAATTATATGGAAATCGGTTTTTATTGACTTTTTATGATTTTTGGCCTGGTGGACCTTTTGGCGGAACTGCCTATATGTACATTCGGTGTGGATCTACTGGTCGCTGGTGTTCTTCCGCGGCAAAAGCACAGGATTAGTTAACGTTGCAGTGGTAAAGTCTCGTGTGTACTTATGTATAAGATGGAAATACATAAATAGTAAAGAAAAAACGTACTTTCAGAGGGTCGTAAACGGAACGGATAATACTAATGCCGCACGGTGGCGCTTTCAGAATCGGTACAGCCGATGTACTATTGATCCCAGTGCCCATTATGAATATACCGTAAAGGTGGGGAGACTAAAACCCTTCCAAGTTTCCTGCGATGCAGAGATCGCGGGTCCTGTCTTCTTCATAGTATTGGATAAACTGCATCCCATAACAAAGTCACAGCCCCAAGAGCTACACATGGAGGATTTCGAGGCGAATATGCGCTACGCCCATTACGATGAGTTCTTCATCGAAAAAGAACATGAGGCATATCGGATGAAGAAGTTATGGGCCTTCACTGGCCTTTTCGGCATGTATGTGAAGGGTCACGAGTTCAGCATGAACGAGAAGGGTGTAGCGAGATAGTGGTGGGATTAGCGCGGGGAAACCAATTCTTATAAAGAAATCCAAATGATAGTTCGTCCAAATAAAATATATACGTTAAATTCTATAGCCTCATATCGATCCCAAAATCGGTAGAATACGAGATATGGCGTGGACTAAACTAAGACCATGATACCAATCCTCTTTCCTCTTCTTGCAGATGTCTTGTGAGTAGCATTCAAAATTCATACAGCAGTCAAAATGCAGTTTTCAATATTGAAATAAAATAGAGACCCTGACCTTCGATCAAAATCATAAATACCTCTTCAAATTTTCGGTCTATTCCATTAGAATTCTTTAGATACTGTCGAGCAGACATGTACATATCTAGTAACATTTGCAACATCGACAGGCTCCCGGAAATGTTCGCCATTAACAGTGATTGATTCTGATGCTAATAGAGTACTGTGACCCACAAAGGACATTTCATAGCAGTAAAAGCATCGCAAATTTCCAACACAGAATATCCATTTATGTAAAATTCCTTTGAGCAGACAAAATTCCCTTGTAGACGGAACAAAGAAGTTTTTATAATTTCTGACTTACATATTAATCTGTAGTTCGAATCGACATGGAAAAGATTTTAACCAGTACACACACCCGCACACTCAGAAGCCCACCATCATTATGGGTGAAAGTGGCACGGAGAGGAGAGGGATATATGTAGATACATATCTTAGCTTTCGATGTGTCAAATTCATTCCACTCTAGCGCGCTGCAGTCATCGGATCCTGCTCGTGATTCTGCTCTGCTCCTTCACTTGAGCATTTTTCTGCGCCATTTTGACACAGAATCCGGAAAGCACTCGCCCGCCCTCACCCTCCCATCTCTCACACATCTGCAGTCTGCCAGAGGCAACATATAGATGTAGATGTGCCCAGCCCCTCCAATTTTCCACTCCCTGCCCCAGTGAATTGCAGCCAAGTTTTTCCTGCTGCAGGCACGGTGCTGCCTTATTATGCAAATGTCTCGACTGCGAGGGCCTCGAGATGCGCTCGCATGCCAGCGTCATCGATTTATAAGTTATGCAAAAAGCGAGAGCCAGAATTTCCTCACTCCTCACTCCTCCCCTCTGTATCTGTATCTTTCATGCCATCGACAATCCAAGGGGCGACTCTTTGACTGTTTGACTGCTTTGTAAGCAATGGTTTACTGTTGTAGTTGCCACTTTTGCTGACTGCAATCAGAAAATTTAGCAAAATCAATCTGAACGCTGCCTGAGGTTCACCTTTTGGTTCCCCTACCACTTCCCGCTCCAACGTTGGCTTGCCATATGGTAGAATAATTAATGGTAGCCATTGGGAGGAGCTTCGATGTGCAGTTCTAGCCAGAGGAACTAAATATAATACTAAACACTCTGCCTTTGATCTTTAATTTTCGATTAATTCATAAACTTTCGATATGATACCCTTTTCAAAAAATCAACAACCAAAGCTAGCATTGACTTTTATATTTACTAGCAGTTTATCATTATAGTAGAATCACTCCATACAAACACACAGGCTAAATAACTCGTCGGAAAAAATGAGTTTTATGTCGAGAATTTTCAACTTTTTTACCCCTTCTACAAACGAAAAGAAACACGTTCGGCTCTCACCAAGTGCAATTTCAATGGAGAGAGATCGTACGTTGCGAAAAATAGCATCGCTGCACCCAATACAAAATTTCCGAAACGAGTTTCGAATGGTTGCCCTGGAGGAGGCGGGAAAAGTGCGATTAACTCTTAAGCAGTCATCGAGGCTAACAAAGAAGGCTAACTACCTGTGGAAAAATATGGCGAAAGACGCAAAGAGCAAGTATTACGATCTGGCTAAGAACTGTCAAAAAACGCGTATACCTGGGCTTACACTGCAAAAACTCTTGCTGCAAAATACTCCCAGTAAGGTGCCGGTAAACCCGAGAAGCAATATTGGTAAGTATTTAAATGGAGCCATCCAACAATCGTCGTCTAATGGAATAGTTCCACCATTAGACCAGGCTATCGGAGGACAGGTGGATCCACCACCCCCCACAAATAGTTGCCTTGTTGGTAAGTAATTAAATACATCTACCCATCCAAAAATCAATGTCTTATGGAATACTTCTGCCATTAGATGAGACCACTCGACGACAAGCGGCTAAGCGCAAGCATAGCGATGAGTCAGATATTCCGACAGTGTTGGAAGATTCCTTAGTCACGACAATAAGGGCACTTGAGGGTCCAGACAAGAAGCGCCCTCGCAGAGAGTAAAAAATTACATTTTTTAACAAAGATTTGATTGAGGTAAATATTTCAGGATATCCATTTATCTATTAAAATCTAACGAAATATTTCCACCATTAGATCAGAACAAACAACAAACTAAATTTAATAATAAAATATTTCTTGGGCATATTTTTAATAAGATTAGTTCAAAATTATATATATATTTGGTCGTATATCATTTAAAGCCCATTAGTCACGATATTATAGAAACAATAATCTATAAATTAAATTAAATATAGAAATATTTTGGACCATTTATTTGAGCGTATTATATTTACCTATACATATTATTGATTTATCATGCGAATAGATCAAACTGCAAACTTCTTCAGATAACAATATTAAACCGATATTATTGGTCAAAATGGTAATATATTTGTTGTCCTAAATTATCTGTCAGGGCCTGGTTACACCGCTATCAACGGATGATCAGTCATTAGTTCCGCCATTTATCAGAAAGGGTTAACCTGGTAGGCTCATCTGGCAGATATCAATTAATTATGATTGGTAACAAGATCGGCAATGCTGATAAACTCGAGTTTACTGATACTAGTTTACTTAAATTAACATGAACACCCTTGGATAACTTTTCAAAGGGCATTCCCAGTTCGAGCAGATCTGGCCTCTTTTCCAGTTCTTTGTACGTTTGGCCTGCTCTCCTCTGCTGATTGCTTTCAAGCTGACAAACAAAGAGGGGAAAAACTCGTAACGTAACTAGAACAACAGCAGCAGGAGAGCAGAGTAGGATGGCGAGAAACGGAATGGATGGCAGCAAAAAAATGTAAATCATTGGTAAATATCTTTTTACAATGCGAATTTTAATCAAAGTTTTTTCCGATGCAGCCTCATCTGGCCCGGCGGGCCATCAGCGAAGTGAGTTCGATTTGTTATTGAATATCCAAAAAAGAATAAAATAAAATGAAGAGGCTACGAGTAGTAATTTTTTGCAGAATTTTAAACCCTATGCGGCTTATGGGGCGAACCTCGCGCGGGCAATTAACATGAATTGATTAATTGAAAATTTCATTTCAGTGCATTTAAATGGTAAACTAATAGCTTGTTTAATTAATTAATTGGAATTTTCATTTGTAGCATTTAACGTTTTTACAACATACATTTCAAGGAATTAAGCGAGAAAATACAATTTATTCAGTTATAATTGAACAAGTAAATAAGTATTGATTATAAGTGCATACATTTTTGTATAAATTTTTTTTTTAAAGCTCAAAGAATTATTTGAGACCCAGTAATTATTTATAAATTTTGGTTAAATAAGATTCCCAGACATACTTATCTTCCTGACTTCCTCGTGATATCAGAAAAATGTAGCAAAAAGCGATCTTAGGAGGGTTGAGGCATGCATTCCTCCTTCCTCCCGTGCCTCACAGTTCGGTTTTGTTTATTTTTTTTTGTATTTTTTGCTTGTTTTGGGTTCTTGATCTTCCCACTTCTGGGTTTCACACATGGTATTGGTTTTTTGGCAAATTCTTGTTCGAATTTCCAAATATCCGTATTGGTGGTGGCAATTCACGCTGATTGCGCACTGGATTGGCTTCGTGTGGGACTACGGACCATATAGCCTCGCACACTAACTGAGTCGTCGGACAAACCTCTTTCTTTTCTAAGAGTTTTCCTTGACATCACAAACGTAGCATTTTTCATGCATCCGTTTCACATAACTGTTGATTGTTTTTCCAACATTATTCTCAACTTTGTTGGTGCTGTGCCCCGCATTCCGCGGACACACACACCCCTCTGAAGACTGAAGACCATTATTCTTATCTGCTTCCAAACACTCAATTTGTTTTGCCACAATTAGTCAGGAACGTGGCCAACCCTTAAGAACTGTGAGGCGTCGACCGCCAGGAGGAGTAGCCAGCGAGCGCTATATATATTCACTTTCTGTAGAATAAAGACTTGGGAATTATTAGGACGAACAAAGCAGCAGCAAACAAAATATGCGTCGTGTCACCAGCGGAGAGAGCGAGAGAGCGAACCGCTTCCGAGAGCAGTCAGAACAGTGCAAGTGCAACGCTTTGATTTGTTTTTGCTCTACTTGATCAGAGAGCGTTGCTGAGAGAGAATGGTTCTCATCTGGCTCTTGCTCTTCTCTCCGGTATGGCAAGCAGTGGAGTTATGCGTTATATGATAATTCTTAAGGTACGACAATGTTATTGGCCATGACTTGTAGTTAGTTTTCTATTCCAAACAAGAAAAAGAAGAAAAGGGAAGAGAAGAGATAAACTAAGAAAATAAAGTGAAAATACTGTTGCACACTTGTTGCTTGTCCCAACCAGGGTACGAGCCAGCAGCATTTTGTCTTTCAAGTCGAGCCAGCTAGAGGCCAGCCCACCTTTGATAAGTGTGAGATTTCTGTCTTCATTTCTTTGCGCTGTGAGTTTATGAATCACTGGTGAAACATACATATTTTTATACATACATACATATGTACATATGTATGTATGTACGTAACTGCATACATACTTATGTATGTACACATTTTAAGGTTTTATGTGGTCAAACTTTGTTTAATTTTTGTTTTGTCAATTTTTAATGAATGATAAGATGTAAACAAATCTTCAAATTTTGAATTCCCAAAATTCTTAAAACATGTTCGAATAATATACCAAAATAATAATTGAATAATAATTAATTAAATAATTTTGTATATGCATACTCTTACTAAGCCATTTGCAGCATCTATGTATGTGTTGTTTGCTTAGTGAATAATCTTTAAAAAACCTACAGAATAATTGCAAAAACGTTTCTGTATTCTGTATTATAATAGATATGTAATATGATGAAGATTATGGCCCGACATATGCATTCTTCTCGTTCTTTAAGATCAACCCACGAACTTCTTCAGGCTAGTGTGACCATGCTTGATCCGCTCACTCGCACTCGCACTCACACTCTCTCTCTCTCTCTCTCTCGTTTCGACGCTCACATGATATAAGATCAGCGCTCAAAGCTTTCGTTTTGAAAGCACAGCTGACAAGCAAGCTCGCGATCATGACGACATTATACAAGGTGGCGTATAGTATACGCTCCATGCGCTCTCTTTTCGGACCACCTTGGATAATTTCATCATGCGCGCGCGCTCCAAACTTTTCGAAGTTCGAGCGTTGACGTTGCGCAGTCGGTTTTCATTTTTCAGTTCGAGCAGCACACACAACTCGTTCGCAAGGTGAACGTGAAGACACAGTAAAGTAAGCCCCCAACACCTCCCACACCCTCAGGGAGAAGAAAAAAAAACAGAACTCGAGGAAGAAAGACACCAAAAGCAAGGCATAAAATAAGTAAAATTAAAATTAAGTAAATGAGAGTTTTCTAATGACACAATAAACAAGCGCCTGCTGCAAAGAAATATGTTATTTCGCCTTGAAAAATCCCAACTAAAGAAGTGACGAAGCAGAGCCGAAAGCAAACAGAAAAACATGCAGATATTTTCTGCATGTGTGTTAGATAATAAGTGCAGCGGAAAGAAGCCGCAAAGAAAGTGCAAAGACAAGTGGAAAAGCGGGAAAAGAAAAGTGCGGTTCAAAACTATCAGAAAATTTTGCGCGTGGAAAATTATTTTGCCTTGTCAGCTGACCCTCCCCTCGCGCGTGCTCAGCCACTGGCTCTGCCTCTGCCCCTCTCTGTCGCACTTCGGGTCTTGTGATCCACATTAGCCTGCCGCACACATTGAGTGGGGTGGGAGTTAGCTACTTGCATACAGCAGAGAAGCATATAGATTGAATACGATCAAAAATTCAATATGGTGGCTTTGCCGATCCACAGCTGTACGATCCACAAGTCTGCGCTTTTTTTTTACCGACTTACTTTTTCCATTTGTCAGCTGACGCCAATGACAGTAGTCTTGTGATCAACGTCAAAACCAATTGTCAAATATTCGAACTCGAATGGAGAGAGGGAGAGCCGAAGAGAGCGAGAGTTGTCAGAGAGTTGCGCCCTCTGGTTTCACTTGCTCTCCCGCTCTCCAGATAAATGTAACCCGCATATAAATCCATATTAATATGAAACTGGTATAGAAAAACCATCAGTATAACAGCTGCAGTTGGATTTTCAATTAGCTTGTGTTGTTCATTCCACAGTCGAGAGTTTTTACAGTTGGAGAGCCGACTTTGCGAGAGAGGGGTATTAATTTTCGAACTTGCGCAAAGCTTTGTCACGTGAAACGAAAGCTCTGCTCGAGCATAATTTTTTGTGGGAGGGAGTTACGAGTAGAAATCGAACAAAAAACGGAAAACACTTGTCGCCAAGCTGCTAAATACCCAAAATATTACCTCAAATTACAGAGAAAAAAGTGTGTACTTTGGATTAAAAGATATTGATAGTATACACCCTACCCACTTAATTTTGTCAGCTGACAAAAGGGCCAGCCAGCCAGCCAGCCCCCAATTAGTGATAAGAAATTTTCAATTTTATCTTTCGTTCAGCGCTTACAATGCAGTTCTTTTTTGTTCCGTTGTAGAAACACAATAAAGCAAAATGTCCAATCTGAAATGTTTCGATGATGAGGAGCGTGAGTCCAAATATGGACGTGTCTTCGCTGTTTCGGGTCCTGGTAAGTAACCAGAAGGAAATCCACCCCCAACTGATGCCTGATACCCTGTTAACCTCCAATTCTCAGTGGTCACCGCCGAGGCCATGTCCGGCTCTGCTATGTACGAGCTGGTGCGCGTCGGCTACTACGAGCTGGTGGGTGAGATCATCCGTCTGGAGGGCGATATGGCCACCATTCAGGTGTACGAGGAGACCTCCGGCGTGACTGTCGGCGATCCCGTGCTGCGCACAGGCAAGCCCCTGTCCGTGGAGCTGGGCCCCGGTATTATGGGCAGCATTTTCGACGGTATCCAGCGTCCGCTGAAGGACATTAACGAGCTGACCAACTCCATCTACATCCCCAAGGGTGTGAATGTGCCCGCCTTGTCGCGCACCACCGCCTGGGAGTTCAATCCCCTGCACGTGAAGGTCGGCTCCCACATCACCGGAGGTGATCTGTACGGTCTGGTCCACGAGAACACCCTGGTCAAGCACAAGATGATTGTCAACCCACGCGCCAAGGGCACAGTCCGCTACATTGCCCCCTCCGGCAACTACAAGGTCGATGATGTCGTCCTGGAGACAGAGTTCGATGGCGAGATCACCAAGCACACCATGTTGCAGGTGTGGCCCGTGCGTCAGCCCCGTCCCGTCACCGAGAAGCTGCCCGCCAACCATCCCCTGCTGACCGGACAGCGTGTCCTCGACTCGCTCTTCCCCTGCGTCCAGGGCGGTACCACCGCCATTCCCGGTGCCTTCGGTTGCGGCAAGACTGTCATCTCCCAGGTGAGCATTAAGATTCTCATCTCATTCCTCGAAGACCTTGTCTGATGTCTGATGTTTCTCCCTATCATCCGCGCAGGCCCTGTCCAAGTACTCCAACTCTGATGTCATCGTCTACGTCGGTTGCGGCGAGCGTGGTAACGAGATGTCTGAGGTATTGCGTGACTTCCCCGAGCTGTCCGTGGAGATCGATGGCGTCACCGAGTCCATCATGAAGCGTACCGCCCTGGTGGCCAACACCTCCAACATGCCCGTGGCTGCCCGTGAGGCCTCCATCTACACCGGCATCACCCTCTCCGAATACTTCCGTGACATGGGTTACAACGTCTCCATGATGGCTGACTCCACCTCTCGTTGGGCCGAGGCCTTGCGTGAGATTTCGGGTCGTCTGGCTGAGATGCCTGCCGATTCCGGCTACCCAGCCTACCTGGGTGCCCGTCTGGCCTCCTTCTACGAGCGTGCCGGTCGCGTCAAGTGCTTGGGTAACCCCGAGCGTGAGGGCTCCGTCTCCATTGTGGGCGCTGTGTCGCCTCCTGGTGGTGACTTCTCCGATCCCGTGACCTCCGCCACTCTGGGTATCGTGCAGGTGTTCTGGGGTCTGGACAAGAAGCTGGCCCAGCGCAAGCATTTCCCCTCCATCAACTGGCTCATCTCCTACTCGAAGTACATGCGTGCCCTCGATGACTTCTATGACAAGAACTTCCCCGAGTTTGTGCCCCTGCGTACCAAGGTCAAGGAGATCCTGCAGGAGGAGGAGGATCTGTCTGAGATCGTGCAGCTGGTCGGCAAGGCCTCTCTGGCCGAGACCGACAAGATCACCTTGGAGGTGGCCAAGCTGCTGAAGGACGATTTCCTGCAGCAGAACTCCTACTCGTCGTACGATCGCTTCTGCCCCTTCTACAAGACCGTCGGCATGCTGAAGAACATCATCGACTTCTACGACCTGGCCCGTCACTCTGTCGAGTCGACGGCCCAGTCCGAGAACAAGATCACCTGGAACGTTATCCGTGAGGCAATGGGCAACATCATGTACCAGCTGTCCTCCATGAAATTCAAGGTGAGTGGAGCTTGGACGAGCCTTTGAGTGAAAGGAGATTACTAATTGATTGTTCTGCTCTGCCACATTCAGGACCCCGTCAAGGATGGTGAGGCCAAGATCAAGGCTGACTTTGAGCAGCTGCACGAGGATCTGCAGCAGGCCTTCAGAAATCTGGAGGACTAGAGCGCGTTGGCCTTACTTTTACAATCTAATCTTATATTTGTTATATAGTTAACTTTTAAAATGAAGGCAGTCTAAAAACCAGTACCGTGCGTACAGTTACGTCAAAAACAACTAAATAGCCTTCTGAAAAAAAATAATTGTGAAGAAAAAGAAGAACACCAACAATTCCGTGCTGCATTCAAAAGTTTCCAAAAACAACAACAACAAAAAAAACAAAACAAAACAAATCAAATCCATCAACAAAATTCCACTACTTTTCGATGCCTGCGAGAGATGCAAAACATTCCGGCCTGCTGCTGATACTTCATCATCGAGAAATGCAACCCGTCAGGGGGCGCAGGCAGGGTCACGTCCACCTGCAACGCCAAGCCAAGCCAGGCCAACCAACTAACGAACGAACGTCCTTCTATGTACTTCCAATTACAACACTGAATAAAAGACACGCACAAACATGTAGTACAGTGCCGAAGTAGTAAGCGGAAACACCACACACACCGCACACCCACACGCCACACGCCACACACAAAAGACACATATACAAATGCATGCATAAATAGTATTATTGTTTAATGAATGGAAATTCTTGTTTATTTGTGAAAAAGTCATGTTTTCTCCCCTGTTTGTTTGTTTGTTTGTTAAATTTATGTAAATATTTAAAGTATGAAATATTAAATGTACGAATAAAGTGCAAACAACAAATACATTTAATGTAATTGAAAGCAGCTCCACTCTACACTCTCTCTTCATCTATGGATGGAATTGATCAATGATTCTTCCTCAGGACATTGCCATCAGGTGGATGCTATTACTAAACGAAACCCAGCCATTAGAGTTACGTATGTCTGTAGTTTGGATGGACTAAGGGCATTCCATGCAGAAGTCATGGAATAAGAACCAGCATCGATTTGCTGTGTCATTCTGCTTTCTTGGGACCATTTTTGGTCCTCTTCAAAGACTGTGTATATTGTTGTTGGATTCTGTGGACCGAATTTAGGTAGGTATTTTCTACGACTCGTTAAAGACGCTTTATATTGTTTTTTTTTTTAATCTGGGAACCGACATTGACGAAGAGAAGAATTACACCGCGCGCCCGTACCACAAAACATCAAACGAGAATTGAAATCGAATTTGTTTCCGATATTTGGTAATGTTCAACAGAGAAGCCACGGTCCAGGTGCAGCTGATGAGACAGATGTACAGAGACCTTAGAGCGTCTTGCGGTACGACATCACAATGCATCACAGCTGCAGATGGAACACTGGAACTTTATTCATACGACTTGTGTATCGATGCCTACTGATGCCTACTGCTTTGTCTTTCCCCCTTCGACACTCTCTTCTCGCACACATTTCCAAATTTTCGTTCAATGAAATGAAATAACTCGCTTTTTATAGGAGACGTGTAACAATAATTTATACTCGATAACAAAAAATACAAAATTATTCCCACTCATAGTAAAAATTCAGCTGATCAACTGGGATCCCATACAATTGCCGTCATGGACAAAGATAAGAAGGTGCAACAGGTACAGCAGGACACCTCAGCCACGACATCGAACGAGGACCAGGACAGACCGTCTGGTGGCATGGAGAGAAAGCCTGGACAGCGACTCTGTTACTGCAAGCCCGAAAGCACGCCGAAGCCGTGCACCTGCAAGACAAACCGATCAGCTACCAACAAGGAGATCAGCACGAACACCTCCTTGCACAACAGTGTTCAGCAGGATGCGTCTGTGCAGCTAAATCAGGATGAGTCTGTGCACCCCAAGCAGGATGAGTCTGAGCACCCCAAGCAGGATGAGTCTGTGCACCCCAAGCAGGATGAGTCTATGCAGCCCAAGCAGGATGAGTCTGCGCATCCAATGGAGAATAAGCTGCCGAAGGAGTTCCAGAGGCAAAGTTTGACGTTATCCGAACGTTCCAGCATCGCATTGATCACCGAAAAATCGAAAGTTCAGAAAACCGATTCGGTATTTCAGAAGAAGGTGGTTTATGCCACCCCCACTCCCCCTGAGGAGGAGGTGAAGGAGGAGGATCATATAGGCCGCATCTTTGGCGTCTCCGGGCCTGTGGTCAATGCTGAGGATATGGCCGGCGCCGCCATGTACGAACTGGTCCGTGTGGGCCACAGCAGTCTGGTGGGCGAGATCATTCGGCTGGAGGGCGACATGGCCACCATTCAGGTGTACGAGGACACGTCCGGCGTAAGTGTCGGCGATCCCGTCTACCAGACGGGCAAGCCCCTGTCGGTGGAGCTGGGCCCTGGCATTATGGGCAGCATCTTCGATGGGATCCAGCGGCCGCTGCGAACCATCAGCGAGATCACCGAATCGATCTACGTGCCCAAGGGCATCGATGTCCCATGTCTGCCCCGCAATATCTCTTACTCTTTCGACCCAGAGAAGCTGAGGGTCGATGACCTGATCACCGGCGGCGACATCTATGGCACGGTGCACGAGAATTGCATGATGGAGCACCGCCTGATGCTGCCGCCTCGCACCCAGGGCCGCATCAAGTGGCTGGCCGCCTCGGGCAACTACAGTGTGGAAGATGTGGTCATCGAGACGGAGTTCGAGGACAAGGTCACCAAGCACACCATGCTCCAGGTGTGGCCAGTGCGACGCAATCGACCCGCAGTCGATAAGCTGCCCAGCAACAGTCCCCTGCTGACGGGACAGCGCGTCCTGGACGCTTTCTTTCCCTGTGTGCAGGGCGGCACCACCGCCATTCCCGGTGCCTTTGGCTGTGGCAAGACCGTGATTTCCCAGGTGAATTCAAGGACTTCCCCCCACCCCCTTATGTTGGTCTCCCCTAATGATCCCTTCATCAGGCCCTTTCCAAGTACTCCAACTCGGATGTCATCGTCTATGTGGGCTGCGGCGAGCGCGGCAATGAGATGTCTGAGGTGCTGCGCGACTTTCCCCAGCTAGAGATCGAGATCAACGGCAAAATGGAGACCATTATGAAGCGTACCGCCCTGGTGGCCAACACCTCCAACATGCCCGTGGCTGCCCGTGAGGCATCCATCTATACGGGCATCACCCTCTCCGAGTACTTCCGTGACATGGGCTACCACGTGTCCATGATGGCTGACTCCACCTCTCGCTGGGCCGAGGCGCTGCGTGAGATCTCCGGACGTCTGGCGGAGATGCCTGCCGATGCGGGCTACCCGGCCTACTTGGGCGCCCGCCTGGCCTCCTTCTATGAGCGTGCCGGTCGTGTCCAGTGTCTGGGCAGTCCCGAACGCGAAGGCTCCGTCTCCATTGTGGGCGCTGTGTCGCCTCCTGGCGGTGACTTCTCCGATCCGGTGACCTCTGCCACGCTGAGCATCGTGCAGGTGTTCTGGGGCCTGGACAAGAAGCTGGCCCAGCGCAAGCATTTCCCCTCCATCAACTGGCTGCAGTCGTACTCGAAGTACATCCGCGCCTTGGACGTATACTACGAGGAGACCAATCCCGATTTCGTCAAGCTGCGGGCCATGGCCAAACAGATTCTGCAGGAGGAAGACGATCTGGCGGAGATCGTGCAGCTGGTGGGCAAGTCCTCGCTGAACGAGACCGACAAGATTGTCCTCGAGGTGGCCAAGATGCTGAAGGACGACTTCCTGCAGCAGAACTCCTACAGCGACTACGACGCCTTCTGCCCCTTCTACAAGACCGTCGGCATGCTCCGCAATATGATGGCCTTCTATTCTGCGGCGGTCGAGGCTGTCGTCAGCACGGCCCAAGAAGAGGCCCGTGTCACGTGGAATCTGATCAGGGAGCACGGCGCCCAGATCATGTACGACCTGTCCACGATGAAGTTCATCCATCCGAGGATGGGCAAGGAGGCCGTCGAGGAGGAGATGAACGTTCTGTATGACAACATTCAAAAGACCTTCCACCATTTGCAGGAAAACATCGCCAAGTTTTATGCCTAACAGATGGCCAAAACAAAAAGGGAGGAGGGTGGTCTGGCGCTTTCTCAAAATTGTTGGTGGAAATGCAAATGTGTTTTGCACATTTCAGCTTTAGGGGTGAGACAGAATTTTAATCTGCGAATCTGTTTGTTCTCTGTTGAAGATTGATTAAAAATAATCATGAATTCCAAACTTATTAACACTCGGACCAAGAGAATGTTCAATCCATTGGTCCTCCCACAAGCACTCTGATTATAATCACGATAATTATATTTTTGCCAACGACCTCTGACGATAATCTTCCGGCTTTTGTGGAGGCAAAAGTCATTTACCGATTGACGCGTTTTACTTTACTCATTAGAGCAGTTAACGGTGCAATGTCGGATTGCTGCTCCTCTTGGATTTGCCTTTTCCCTTTTCGTCTGCCTGCCTGCCTGCCTTTTGCACTTTTGCCTGAATTTTCCTGAGCAGTTAATCCTTTTTCTAGGGGGCGAAGACCTACCCAAATAAAAAATTCCTTGATTTATAGGAAAAGTTTATTAAATGCGCTCAAAAGTGGCCACGCCCCAAACCCCAAAATGTCCTCCTTCCACCCACAATCGGCCACAATCCGGAGAGCAAACGTCAAGGCCCAGTGCAAAGCTTTTTGCACCAGCAGCATCCAGCATCCAGCTTCCAGCATAGGACGCCATAGAGGGCGGTTCAGAGAGTGAGGTTGAGGGAGATCGATTTCGATTCAATTAGTGGAAATTAAATGTAAGTTTATATGTATAAGTCCCTGGATCCCACTGTCTGTGTGTGTGTGTGTGTGTGTGTGTGTGGGCACGGTTGGGCTTCTGTGGATTGCGATGATTACATTTCCGCACTCCCATCCCATCCCATCGCATCCAATCCCATCTCATACCCATTCTGTATCCTTTGCCATCTCCCATCTACAACCTATCGCCACACCACTACAGCAGACCAAGTCAGCCATAAAATGAGCGCCGAGCAAAAGAAGCAAGCCAAAAAATCAGAATCAGTTCAATTGCAAATTGAAAATCCCCTTACAACTTCCGTTTCCGCTATGCGAGATGGTGGGGGGTGGTGAGTCTTCAGAGTGGGAGAGTGCCGGGGTTTGGCACTGAACAGGAGCTGTGTGTTGTAGAGGAGGCTGTTGGTGTGTGTGTGTGTGTGTGTGTGTGGGCGTCTGGCTGCCATGACAAACGTGGCGTATGAGCAATGCGCGCTAATTGGCTGCCATTCGATGTGCGCTCCGTTCCCTCTTAGTTCCCTTTTTTGCTCCCATTTCGCTCTCTTTCGTTTCATATCGTTCGTCAGCACACTGAACGGAAGTTGAAAAGAAGTTTTCGGCAGAAGGTTTTCGGCAGTTCGATATCCTAAATGATAGATCTTATTGGGTGATTGGTTTTAAATATTGTAAATGACAATTTTCCACCTTCAACAAACTTCAAAATTCAAATATAATATTAATTAAAACTTAGTTTTAAAATAAAGTTTATTTTAGAATAATTTTGCTAGAACTTATATATATATCCAGAACACCTGTGTAGCAAACACAGATATATTGCCATATTCTTACATGATCACTTACACTTCCACTTTGAGTACTGACTTGTCAAGACAGCTTTCCGAAAGGATATATTCAGCAATAAAATAAAAAATTGCCTTAATAAAGAGTAAACAGATCATGTAGTGAATAGTGCTCTCATTAAATAATATTTGGTGTTCGTATGGGAAGCAGTATGTAACAGGCAGAGGATCACCAGCTCAAAAGTAAAATTAACAAGAGTCGATTTTTTTGTAGAGTATTTGGCACCCTCTAATATTATTTCAAACTATAAAAATTCAGCTTATTTTTCTGTGCTAAAAATGAAAACAAGAACAACAGACAGGTTGATTTTTCTCTCTTCCTATTTGGGAGATATTCCTCCTTTTTTTTTTCTCAGTGCATCGGCAAAGCACAGAGCGAACAGGAGCATCATACTGGGTCTCCTCTTGCTCATCATTCTACAACGTCCCAGCAGCCATTCGGAGCTGAAAGCTGCTTGGGCTCAGCCTTGGGATTGCGTTTGGTGATGGCGTTGGCAATGGCAGAGTTTGTGGTGGATGGTGGATGGTGGCCCTGGTAGTGGTAGTGTGAGATTGGAGATGGTAGATGTGGGTTAGGTGGGGGAGTGGGTCTTATTGCATAATTTGAAGGGGTTAAGCCATTGAGCTTTAATGCAAAATTTCAATTGAACGTCAAACAGTCAATTCGCTTTAGCGGTGATAATCGTAAAAGGATAATGGTGCTAAAAGCGCATAAAAACGGCAGACAGAAAGGCTGGCTGGGGGCAGCCGGCACAGCCAGGGATGGGACCCCATGAGGCGGCACTGCCACCAACACTAGTACTTAGTATACTCGCATCTGCATATATATATATGTGTGAGTGTGTGTATGTGTATCTTTGCCTCTCGGGTTCGCTGCCTCTCCTTGTGTCTTCCTCTGTCTGCTCTTGGCCTAAGTGTGCACTCAATTAAAGGATTTTTTTGGTCACGGAGCACACAGAGAGAGAGAGAGAGAGGCTAACTGCTGAACAATATTGGGTTTGTTAGATAAGCTCCTACCAGCTCCTTTCTCTTTTTCTTTTTCTTCGCTTTTTACACTGGATCCCCAGACACTTTACCCCATCTTTTTGCCTGGAGGCCATAAGCGGCTTTTCTAGGCGTCTTACAAAGTAAATACAAAATATTCAAATGAAATTTTTAGCATATACAAAATACCATAAATAAGAATGTTAGTTTAATAAACGGATCACAAAATGGTAGTACTTCCAGAGAATTTTACAATTTCAAAGTAAAATTAGAAGCTGATAAAGGGTGTGGAATGGATTTGGTTATGGATGGGGGAACGATTTCATAACTTCAGAAATTATTTGCGTATTTTGTGATTTATTTTTTAGTATTTTTATTTATTTACGGATAAATATTGAAAGTATTTTATCAGCATGGAAAAGGAATGGCCACAGAGTGTCTGCCTACCATCCGCTGGAGTACAGAAAGGTTGGATTGACATTAGATTATATATATTTCGTTTTTATCTTATCGTTAATAAATAAATTGACTAGGCTAATCTATGCAATTCAATCAAAGGCTTTCGATATGGCAGTCATTGAATATATGCCAGAGTAAACACGGAAAGGAACATACTTCTTTACCAATTACTAAATGATTGCACTATGCAGTCAAATTTAACCTTTTTTTGTAGATAATTTTTGATTTCATTGTTTTCATTCTTTTAAAATAATTTTATAAATAAAATTTGTGTGCATGGTTTTTCATATAACTTTAGTAAGCTACAACAAGTTTTGAAGAACTTGGAAATTCTGAAAAGCCAATTAATGCAGCTATCAGTCGGTCATAAAAATATTTTACCTTAAGTTTAACTTCTGGGAAAAAAAGATTTAAAATGCAAAATTTATAATTTTCGGTATTTTGCAATGTCGTTTCTTTTGTCATTTGTCGAAACAGAGTTTTTGTTGCTGTTGTATAGTGTTATTATTCAGAAAATAGATTATCTATATGGTAATATCTATATGGTATATCGCTAAGCATTAAGACATGTACGAGTAAGATTCCTTTGGACTTTAATTCACCCCAAAGAGAGAACAATTTTCCCTCTGACATTTGTTATATCTGTTAATTTAAGGTCTCACCAGCCATCACTCCGACCTTCGATCCCATTCCATACCATCCCATCCCATCCCATACCGCAATCGTTGACAAGTTCTACCCCAAAAGAGGAAGCGTGTGCCGGCAAAGGACATGTTGGCCTTGCTTGTTATTGTTGTTTTTGGCCGCAGGGCCAAAAGGATATCATAAGCACATAAGATGATGAAGTTGGGAGCACCGGGAAAGAGCCGGATGAAGGGTAAAAAAAGACGAGGAACAAGCATACGAACAAGCGGAATGGAAATGAGAACAGGAATGGGACTGAGACTGGGGACTGGGGACTGCGAATGGTTGTGGGCATGGCTGTAAGGACGAGGGCAACTTAATTTGCAACTTATACGGAAAATCCTTTTGATTTTGTTATGTCGCTGCTTAAAGGTCCTTTTCTGGGGGGAGGTCTTCAGAGTTCTTCGCCTGCAGTTATTTGGCAAACTTAAGCGCGAAACCCTTTTGCTGCTCTGCTCTCTTCTTCTCTTCTCTCTGGTGTTATTCCCCTGATTTTTCACGTTTCTTGCTGTGTTTTTTTTTTCCTCTTCGATTTTGGTTTCGGCCAAGTTTTTCGGTAGCAAAAAGGGACCGCTGATCATTGTCCTTTTTTTGGCCTATACACACACAGACACAGACAAAGACACATCCAGCTTCTGTTTAAGGGAATTTAAATTAAGCCTATGCAAATGCGCCGCAGGATGCTTTTCTTCTTTCGGCAGCTGTATCCGGAGATGAACCTCTGGAACTGGTATCTGAACTGAAGCTGAGCTGTGCTGAGGCCCGCCTCCAACTGCTGCCCGTAACGTTAACGCCGCATTATCGCTGCATCCACGACCAACTCCATGACCACCCCATTCTCACAGAGATACTCGTAAATATACAGACACTGAAAGAATTAGTGACCCCTAGGATAAACATGGTATGGAAATGCGAAAAGAATTGGGCAATCTGTAATGAATGAGAAAGGAAGTTATATCGAAAGAAGATGTAGAATGTACTTTAAAAAATTATGTTAATCGTGTGGAAATAATTGATTAAATTATTGTGGTACATTCTCAAGTTTCCTTACCAAGTTAAAAGAGTTTTGCAATCCTGAAAAATGTTTAGTATTGAATACTGTTGATTTCGGAACAAATGATTTCGGTTCTCAACAATCTAACCCATATATGGAAACATAATTCAAAAATCGAACAATAGAATTTATACTCCCCCTTAAGGACTACAGCCTACATATACACATTATTTTACTTAAGAAATATCACTTAAATTAATTTGGGGGCGATTCTTTGTGTTCTTTGATCTCTTTCGGATATCTATAAAGTGAAAGTAGCTTTCAATTCAATTATTTGGCAGCTCTCTGCCTTGACGTACAGCACCCTTGAGGGGGTTATACTTTTAGACAACAAATATACAGGAGCCTGGGGTGACTGCTTAAGATATATACATAAGATTTATTCTTGAGCCTTTACATATTTATATATATTATTGATTGCTTAAAGAGCAAATACTGTGCGTAAAAATGTGGGATGCTGCCAGTATCGCTTACT